AAGCCACAGCCGATGTGGCCCACCGCATCAATCCATAACACACGTATCAGATTCCCACCATTTATTCGTGCAAATTCCATATTTCAAACAAAAAGGCAAAGCACAATCGACCAGATGCCACTAAGAGTCAGCAAATCGAACCCCCCCCCCCCCCCAAGGTGGTATTGCCGACATGTGCCAGGCGCGAGCGCACCCGGGATTACCTGCTCAGCGCGGAAGCCAGTCCTCCATGGCAAGGTTGGTGTAGACGTACGCGTAAGTCGGTGGTTTTTTGTTTCCTTTTGTTTACTACTTTATTTCCATTGCGGCTCTACTTTTGTAAGTACCCTCGTATTATCTTGTTTTGTTGGACTGATAGCACGCTGAAGTGCGTATGAATAAACAAATAAATAAATAAATAAATAAGTATGGAAATACAAGACAAACCATTGCGTCTCGTAGTTGGTATAATCATATATGAAACTCGCGTTAAATAAAAGGAAAGAGGACCATGAAGAAAGGCGAAATTTCTTAGTTCAAAAATAGCAAACACAACAATACTGAGCATATTGGCTTATCGTTCAATAAAATCTTGCTACCGACCTTGGTCGACAGCTTTAAAAAACTGTATTACAATTTGAATCACAATGCCAAGGTTTATCGAAATTCGAGCACGAAATATGAGCATATTTGATATTCGTTGACGGATTTGCCAGCAGCTCGTTAGTCTCTTTCAAGGTCCCTTAACCCCTAGATATGCGCTCCGCTTGTACTTGTTCCAATCGAGTTCTTTTCTCTCGTAGGTGTTTCTGCAAGTGTTTCCCAGTTGGCGCCCACTTGTGTACATCGAGCACTCAAGGTAGTGTAAGGTTTGCGAAAGTTCTCACAAATTACATGACCCTCCATAGCAAGCATTTATTAAACGAACTTATTAGATGAACAAAGACAACTAGCGAATCGAGGATACTAGAGCAACATAAGAGGCGATGCATAGAATTGATTATGTAAAGATACAGAATATTGAAAGGAAGCTGCGTTTCGCAACCCTATTGTACTTTCTATCAGAAGGCATGTAGAATGTTCTAGAGACACCAATGTCCTCTAATGTCCCCCCCCCCCATTGGATAACGACTGGCCTCTTCCAGACCTTGGGCTCCATCATTCACGTTGCAACTGGCACGACGCATAGCTAATGCATAAAGCAACGTTAAGTGCAGGAAAAGGTATATAGCAATGCTGATTGCGTAAGCACACATTAGATATAGCCCTCGAGCGCGTCTTAAAATGACTCGAAGTAGTGCACCTCCTTCCTCATGGACCTTCCTATTTGGATCTCCTGTAATTGCTTCCAGACCTTGAACTCCATCATCCACTTATCTCAAAATGTCATCCCAATTGTTGTGTTCGTCTTGGTGATATTGTTTATGAACGATTTGCACTTCTCTGTTGTCTTCCTTTGTTCGGTTTACGACGATTTCTCATAGCCTTTCGATTACTTGTTTCTGGCTCTATGCTTAATTCTTCGAGTTAGTGCTTCGCCAGCTTCTTGCAACAGTTGGTCGAGGCAACGCTCGTCGTCCATCGAATCTCGTCGTTTACTAAGCGGATATGTCTAGTCCCTGTCTCCCACTTCCCCCTTTTGAAGCTGGTTTTTCTTCAGCGATAATCTTCTGTTTCCAGTTTGGTGTGAATTTACTCATCAATTCTAGCCGTTTAGGTGCATCAAATCAAACTGAATTGTATTCGCACACAATTCGTATCCTTTCTTAGATGGACAAGCCTCACAGTTGTAATTGTGGGAATGGGATTGGCTATTTTATTTTTAACGACACCTCCTATATCTTTCAAGCATGCTGGGAGGACTTTTTTTCACCGATCAGGGTCATACGGATGACTGAATCCATAAATAATATGATTTGTAACTGTTCAGCACAACGCATATGGGGTCATTACTTGCATGCGTTGTACTCGCTGAGGCATTGGGGAAGAAAAATCGATAGCTGCGCTACAAGTTCACGGCACTGTTGTAGCAGGGATCCAAACAAATGCAAAACTACACAGAAACTATGCAGTTCTGAATACAGGAAAGTTGCAGTTTTTATGATACAGAATGAATAAAAATCACAGTTTACAGCTGACAATAAGTATTACAGATCAAAGCAAAGAGAATGTGCGCTTTCGCAATCGGCGGCTGCATACTAGGGCGCACATGCTGATGCGGCCAGTGTCCTTTATGTTTTGTTACGAGGAAAAGAGGTAGAGGAACGCTGCAGAGACCATAAACAAAAGGAATTTGTAGCATTTGCCGGGAAGCATAAAGTGCGCGTATTTCACGGGTGATCTTGAAAATCTGACTTCACACTAGTGGTAATTATTGCACAAAGCTGAGCTTTTCGCAAATAGTGCAGTACTTTCTTATATAAACGTATGGAACGTAAACCTATGCTGAATGTAATTTATAAATCCCGCTTTTTGAGGTATTCTTGATGACAAGTTCTATATAGCCATTTACATATACAAAACCAGTTCAATTGTTGAAAACTGTACAAAAATTCAATATTTAACTAATAATTAAATAAGATGATATCAATTAACGCATGATTAGATGAATGCATTGTAGGTACTCCTCGAAGATCTTCTAACAACTCAGTTGACGGAACTGTTGTGACTGCCATGAGGACCAGTGGTTAGTCGTTTCGCATGTCCAACATCACTTGGATTGACTTTACTTTGAAAACAATAAGATAGGGTTTGGGAAATGTGGATGACAAAATCTCATGGAAACAATATAATAATGTGGATCAGCTAGGTCCAAAAAATTCAGTTTCTTGAAAATTAAAAAGGATAGGTACTAAATCTTGGCGTACTGGACAACTTATATGTTAAAAGATGTTTGGGTGTGCGCGAAGGGAAAAAAGACAAATAAATAAGTCCCAAGCAAACGTTTTGTCCACGGCATCGTTGAAATGTGTTAACATAGAATTTCTCAAGGTGAATGATGTTATGAGAATATTATACATGCGTCATCTGTGCTTGGCAGAGGCTCGCACTAGTTCCACTATTTATATGCCTCACTCATTCTTGCTTGATGATAACTCTGACACTCACCGCGCATTGCCAAGTATCACGTATATATTGTAAACAGTTGCTCATTCCAAAAGTTTTTTCACGTGAGATCGATGATTTCGCGTGAGTGGAACTTTTTGCGGAAGAACAAATACAAATTTGACTAAGTTTTTGGACTTTTTCGGTTTCGTAATCGCCTCAATGACAACAACTACCGTGAGTTACATCTCTGTGCGAAAATCTTATCAAATGCTCGGGTGAAGCCTTGGCAAACTGAACATTTACACAACCAATCCTTTTTGGCGTCGTCTTCGTAAAGTAGTAGACCTTTGCTCATTTTTTGGTCTAAAGTCCATGGCCTGCACATCAACATGCCAAACACATCCACGACTTTGCAGAAAGAGTTGATAAGGACACAGTTTTGCGGGCCAGAAGCCAAGTGGATCCGTTTGATGCGCAAAAACTGAGGATCCACCCATCGAATCCGCTCGTGCTCTTGCATGGTGGAGTTCTACACTGGTAGCATACGTTATGCAAAATTTGGGTTCAGAGCGTTGGATGGAACTCGCTTCATGAATTTCGTTACAGACAGACACACAGACATGACACACAAAAACACGTAAACACCCTTAGCCCGTTATTATAAGTTATGATAATCTATTACACTCGTACAGGACATCGTAACCTGTTTCTATCATAGGGTTCAATGCCTTAAGGCTTTCTAAGTTTCCTCAATTCACGAAAGTTCTTACCACCTTTTGGCCTGCTGGCCTGAAATGTTTTTGCCCTGGAGTCTTTAGGCGGATTGACACATTTGAATAGTACATTTGCGTTGGTGATAATGTATATCATTCTAAGCTCACATGAAAAAAATATAAAGCAGTTTCGAAAAATTCGGTTCATCAATACATTTGAAGAGCAAAATTTGAAAAAAGAAACCAAGGGAATGAAACTGTTGTACTCTGTAATCTATGAGTTTCTTTGATCATTAGAGCTACTAACGTCAATATTAAGAAGGTGTTTTTGGTGTACCCTTTTTCCTTCTGAACAAATACCTTGAAATTTGAAGACGCAAGAGGTTGGACAGCAGAGAGTCAATCATCTGGCAAAAAGAAGAGAAATACTGGGTGTCACGAACTTTTTCAGCATATTTATTTGATTGGTACATATTTCAACCTTTCAAGTGTGTAATATGCATATATCACATACGAATCCAACAGTTTTCCACATTTGTGAAGTCGTTGAGCTGCCTCTGAAAAATTTGCAACCCGATTTTATGTAGCAACAGAAAATCTTCAAAATCTCACTTCTCAAATCTTACTTCGACGTTCGAAGTAAAACGTTTACGATCGATGTCTCATATTTCCCTCTTATTTACCTGCCCAATGAAACAGCAATTTTCCGCAGTTGCAAATCACCCGGTCTTGTGCACTTTAGAAGCCAAAATCCAATAAAGGAAGGTTTGGCTTTTCGATTTTGAGTTGAGTTTTGATATCTTAGAATTTTCAGTATGCACATAAACAAAGAAGATACCGAAAAAAATCAGGGTTAGGGTTTCAACAGCGGTTTCTTTGTAAATTTTCTCGATTTGATAAATTTTTGTGATAATTGCAATGTAGATTGGTGCATCGCATAATCGCATACATTGACTAACATTGATTTATACGAAATTTTCATGGATGTAGAATTTGAAAGTAAACTAAGATTTGAGGGTTCCTCTCTATGGATTGAGAGTACTTTCAGATGATTAATCTTGTAGAAATCGGCATTTGTGTGAATGATACCGTTGTCTTCGTACGTACATCTGAACCTTTCTTTTCCTTTTTTCTGTTCATTTCCGTTAAGACAATTTTCGCTTGACTTCTTTGGATAATGAGCTATTTCTGCGTAAATTCTTTGATTTATAAGCTGTCAAAAATCTATTTGGAAACATTAAGAATGAATTCTTCATTTAGTGCGTAAACTGTATATACAGCGAATAGCATATGACAGAATAGAACCGGATTGGCATAAAAGTGACAAAGTAGCAGCATTTGGTAGCAACATACTGGGAAAGACAACATACGCACGCGGTAGCGAAAATACTAGAGAAAAAGAAACAATCCACAATCTGATTTGAACCGCTAAAATCTAAAAAATCAGAAACTGGCTGACAGCGCGAAAACCGGAAATCTAAGCCGAAAATCTAGAGAAAAAAGTACACGTAATGAAGAAATGAAGCATTAAAAGAGCACACAATGCTGGTAGAAAGGGAATAATCTCATCAGTAACACGAACACACATTGAGCAGCAATATGGCAACATTCTTTTTTGGAATTTCTTTCGATGAAGATCAGTGACCAGAAAAAAGCAGAGAAAGCATCATAAGGCGTGATAATTCCGGACGAGGTCGAAAAAGTTGACGCAAACTTCTTCGAAAGCTTGAGCATTGCTAAGGTAGCAAGCATGACCAGCATTTGGGATTTTGTGAAGTCGAGCATTTGGCAAAACACGCAGATTTGCAGCAGCTGTTGGGCCAAGTGAGGTGTCGTGATCTCCTAAATTCGAAAATTTTTAGCAGAATTTGAAGAGCTGCGGAAGAATACCCACCCCAAAGCACTAGTATGGGGGTCCTGTAGAGGGCTGGTTGCACAATTTCGTGAGTGTTTGATGGAGCTATTCCTACGGCACAGACAAAAATGTCACGAGCTAACAGCGGAAGAACATATTGAGCTGACATCGATGCTGCCACCACCATAACCTACAATAATCTTTCGAAAAATTTATAAAATGTAAAAAAAATTATAAGACTCACGTGTTTGATACCTATAGCATCAAGAAAAGAAAGTAAGAACTGCGGTTTGTCATGAACACTAACTGCCGGACCTCGAGTCTAGAAAAAAACGTCTGCAATTTTTTTACCCCCTCAAAAAACGCTTGAGCTTACCTGTCCAGATCCCGGCAAATCCGGTGCAATACAGTGATATCCGAGAGCTGCAAAAGTGCTCAGGGACCTGAAAGACGGCTATTCCGGATGGAAGAAAGACTCTGGAAAATGTAAACTCACCCTCGATCCATCCATGTGGACGAGGAGTAGGCTTGGCCGTGTAGAAAAACAACTGCAGCTTTGGCATAATGACTATCTGGAGGAAGGGCTTCACGGTAGAAGACGTTGTGGTCCTGATTGGAGAGTAAAATGAACTATATGAGAGAAGAGATTTGTTGTAACAGCGGGTCTTGCACCAAAAATTTCCAATAAATTTGTTTGACTCAAGCGGGCTGGAAAAATAATCACGCGTTTTCTGCACTAGTATTTGAGACAAAGTACAATGTTGGCATATCACAGCGATAAAAATCATAACCTGTTCTTTTTTCAAGTTTACTCAAAAGATTGGTGAAGGAATTAAGAAAGTCTAATTTCAGTTCTGATAGTTTTACGTCCTATATACTTTTTCAAAAGGGCGGAATTCGTGCCGTTGAGAATTTTTACAAATTCCGACAATTTTTGTACTCAACAGTTTGCGTTCGTTTCCGTTGAGATCTCTGATATGTATAGTTACTTATAAAACTTGAATAAAAAGGTACAAGTCAAAGCGTAATTTTAAACATTCTTCAGCAAATTTGTGTTTTTTGAAAGATCATGGACCAGACCGATATGTTTTGGTACTTTTTGGCACAAGTTTGAAAATTTCCTTCAGCATAAAACTACTATAAATTTGCAAAATATGGTGATAAAGGTTTAGTCTCACCAATTTTAAGCGGACCACATACACGCTCATAATTCGTCAAAAAAGTCTCCGACGAATTATGAGCGTGTATGTAGCCACAGTGTGGCGGAGTGTGGCGGAGTGCGCCGGAGTGCGGCAGAGTGCGCCACACTCCGCCGCAGTGCGCCGGAATGATCGTCAATTTAGCCATATCTCGCTTCAGAATGGACGAATTCTGAATCCGAGGGCACCATTCGATTCAGCTCGGTGAGACGCATCATCCCATATATGAAGCTGAACTCTGTTTGTCTGTTTGTCTGTACGTACGCTCCGAATAGAAAATTCCATTTCTGAACCGATCCGGACCAAACTTGGCACACATACACTTCGGGCCCCGGCGGGTGTCATAGGTTACTTTTCGTCATCGATCGATATCGATTTTGTCGATTTTATCGATTTTTTGCAGAGTTTACCTACGGGGCCGGGAGTTGGCACAGGTGGGCAAGTGAGCATGGGGATTCCGAATACAATATTAGTTTTCAGGATTATCAATTACTTTTGTCGATTTCATTGATTTTTTTGCAAAGTTTGAGCTACGGGGCTGGGAGTTTGCACAGGAGGTAATCGAGCATGGAGATTCCGAATACAATATTAGTTTTCAGAATTACCGATTATTATTTTGGTTGAACTCAGTGTGCTGATAACAATATTACCATTGATCTGTCGCTGATGACACATAGACAGTATACTATAGGAGTATGGTAGAGAGCCACTCTGATCGAATTTGTTCTAAGATCTGCTCAAGATCACAATACCGCCCACAGAATGTCAAAATTTCCGTGAACTTCGCGGAATTCCGGGATTTCTGCCAAAGTGCGCGATGATCCGGGAAGTTCGCGACATTTCAGGATCCGCGAAACCATGCGAAACGCGGAGTACGCAACGCCATAACTTCCTTCGCAATGAATATATTCCGAATCCAGAAGCAGCATTGTGTTCAGATCGTCGAGGCAAATATTTTGATATACAGTATGCTCTCGATATTCCATTTCCAGTTTTTTCGAATTTTTTCTGTGGAGGTCCTTTCGCAAGGATGTAACGCAGCGTCTGTGTAAAATAAAAGATTCCAGTAAGCACTGCTTGATAGTACTGTCCTTATAGGTTATCGTGCGTTCAAGAGTAGCTGCAGACTGTCTTCCAAAAGAGATAGAAGCGTTGGTGAATTTTGGAAAAATCACGCGTTTCTAAATTCTACTCGCCGTAACTTCCTTCGGAAAGCACATATTCTGAATCCGAAGAAAGCTTTGTGCTCAGTTTATCAAGACAAGTCTTTCTATATACAGCATATCCTTGATATTCCAATTTCAATATTCTCAAATCTTTCTGTAGACGTCTTTTCGCGAAGGTGTAAAGTAGCGCGCACTGCCCCTAGGAGACTTCAGCAAGGACCATTCGATAGTACTTTTTCTCTAAATTACGTAGCGCTAAAAATTAGTCACAGGCGTCTTTCCATAGGAGTTAGAAGGGCTGGTGAATTCCGGGAAAAATCATGTCGTTCTAAATTTTTCTCAACGTAACTCTAAAATATGAAGCTCTCTTGCTAAGCAGATGTGATTTTCGTAATTAGCAGGTCGGATAATCCTTACAAGCAAGTTTTCCAAGATGTTCGAGTAATTTCATTTTTTCTCGTTTTACGCTCTGAAGCTGGCCGATGCAGGGCCCGGCACGAGGTCGGCAAATGACAAGCTGGAAATCGTTTTGGGGCCAAAAAGCAAAGGAGAAATCGTTTTTGCGGGGTCCGGGGCGGAGCCCGGGAAAAAATGGTAGTTCATGCTCGCTACTTATCTTGACATGTTATGTGCCTCAACAGGCGAACACTGGAGTCCGCGCGCGTCAAACCGCGCCGTCGCTAATTGCCGCACCCGCGACGTCTCCCAAGCGATGCTATTTGTAACTGCATACATGACTAGTTCTCAATGTATGTGTAACGATATGGCACCAAATTTTGTATGCGAACGGAGAGAGGCTAGTGGAAACATAGTATGAAAAATTATGAAAAACTTATGTGAACGGAACGAGTAATTAGCATGTTTTCCGAGAATTTCGCAAAACTGGTAAATGAAAATGTGAATTTAAACGGCTCGTTTGGAAAGCGCAGATGAACGATATGGTATGAAACTTGGTAAGTACATGCACACGGGCTTGCAGGACTTAACTGAGGAGTTTCATTGAGAAATTATGTGACTGAAGGTTGTGGCAAACTTTTTTCTGGAAATTTTGCGCTACCAAAGAAATGGAAAAATGGCTCGTTTGCAACGCAGAGGTAACGAAATCGCGCGGGCTTCGGTGTGTATATGCGCAATAGGACTAAGTAATAAAGTATGAAATATTATGAAAAACTTATGTGAATGAAGAGTTTCCTTAACTTACTTCCAAATTAGGTCGGCATTTGCCGACCTAATTCCCACCTGAGGTCGGCAAAACTCTCAATTCACATAATTTTCTCAAAATTTTTACATAAATCTGTTGTACACCTAAAGTTTACTACATGGTGAAATTTTGGTTCCGAAACTCCTCCTCTTGTCCTTGTTGGAGCCCAAAATGGCATCAGCAGCCCAGCTTTCTAAGATAGAAAGCGCGCCCCAGTCAATCGATACGCGCGGGAACGGCGTCTCTCATTCCTATGACTGCGTTTCTTTAATATTTTCTCATTCCCTAATCCTTTTAACTGCTTATTTTTCTTCCTGTTTCCTATCTTGGTACAGCAATTTGAGTAATATGAGGAATTTGAGCAATTTGGGCGCTTTTGAGCGCTTTTAGGCGAAGTGTGGCCAGTAATCTCGTCGCACAAGCACAAAACGTCATTTTTGGGCTCAAGGGAGTATTCGTAAAACTTACTGGGATCAAAGGGGTATTCGTTTTGGAAAACCCCGTTTGCCCACCTTGTGCCGGGCCCTGGGCCGATGGATTTTGGTCAAAATGTTCATGCTCTTAAATTGTAAGGAAACTTCGCTTATAAAGGTTTTCGAACACGCTCTTTACGAAAATCGTGGTCTTTGAGGATTACAGGGTCTTCTTGGAGAGATACGGTGAGGTGACTGTAACTGCATCACGAAAGCTCGTAACTTCGCCTCCACCTCTCACGTGTCTGTCAAAGAACCTGCCCGCAGAACCTTGCTTTACTAGTCAAAGTAACTAGGAGATGTGCTATCGAATGGCGCAAGACTCAGGCTCCACTCTATAAAATTCGCCGAGTTACGAGCCTCCGAAAACACGTTCTCATGAATTTTGCCCAAAATGTAAAGATCGCATATTTGGTTGAAATTCCACCATCAGTGCTTGTACAACATGCTGATCAAATCTTTTCACATTCTTAATGGATCTTATTGTGTTAGATTTGGTGATTTGAGCTCTAGCCACAAAACAGCTTTGATATTCAATTGCTGTAGCACACGCAAGCACCATATTCAATACAGTGAAGTTATTGAGCGAAGCGAACATAATATCCGCAATGCGAGTGTCATACAAGCACTCACGGTGGAATTTTGACGGAATTTACGATCTTCACATTTTGAGCAAAATTCATGAGAATGTGTTTTTGTAGGCTCGTAACTCGGCAAATTTTATAGACTGAAGCCTGATTCTTGCGCCATTCGATAGCACATCTCCTAGCAACTTTGACTAGTAAAGCAAGCAGGCAGGTTCTTTGACAGACACGTGAGAGATGGAGGCGAAGTTACGAGCTTTCGTGATGCAGTTACAGTCACCTCACCGTATCTCTCCAAGAAGACCCTGTAATCCTCAAAGACCACGATTTTCGTAAAGAGCGTGTTCGAAAACCTCTACAAGCGAAGTTTCCTTACAATTTAAGAGCATGAACATTTTGACCAAAATCCATTGGGCAGCTTCAGAGCGTAAAACGAGAAAAAATGAAATTACTCGAACATCTTGGAAAACTTGCTTATAGGGGGTTATCCGACCTGCTGATTACGAAAATCACATCTGCTTAGCAAGAGAGCTTCATATTTTAGAGTTACGTTGAGAAAAATTTAGAACGACATGATTTTTCCAGAATTCACCAGCCCTTCTAACTCCTATGAAAAGATGCCTGTGACTACTTTTTTAGCGCTACGTAATCTACAAAAAAAGTACTATCGAAAGGTCCTTGCTGGAGTCTACTAGGAGCAATGCGCGCTGCTTTACACTACAAAAAGACGTCTACAGAAAAATTTGAGAATATTGAAATCGGAATATCAAGGATATGCTGTATATCGAAAGATTTGCCTTAATGAACTGAGCACAAGGTTTTCTTCGGATTCAGAATATGTTCATTACGAAGGAAGTTACGGCGAGTAGAATTTAGAAACGCGTGATTTTTCCAAAATTCCCCAACGCTTCTGTCTCTTTTGGGAGACAGTCTGCAGCTACTCTTGAACGCACGATAACCTACAAGGACAGTACTATCGAACAGTGCTTACTGGAATCTTTTATGTTACACAGACGCTGCGTTACATCCTTGCGAAAAGACCTCCACAGAAAAAATTCGAAAAAACTGGAAATGGAATATCGAGAGCATACTGTATATCAAAACATTTGTCTCGACGATCTGAACACAATGCTGCTTCTGAATTCGGAATTTATTCATTCCGAAGGATGTTATGGCGTTGCGTACTCTGCGTGATTCGCATGGTTTCGCGGATAATGAAATGTCGCGAAATTCCCGGATTATCGCGCACTGGAAATCCCATCAGCGACAGATCAATGGTAATACTGTTAAGAGCACATTGAATTCAACCAAAATAATAATCGATAATCTGAAAACTAATATTGTATTGGGAATCCCCATGCTCGATTACCATTGTGATTGTGCAAACTCCCAGCCCCGTAGCTCAAACTTTGCAAAAAAATCGATAAAATCGATAAAAGCAATCGATAATCCTTAAAACTAATAGTGTATTCGGAATCCCCATGCTCGATTACCCCCTATGCAAACTCCCAGCCCCGTAGGTGAACTCTGCAAAAAAATCGTAAAAATCGATAAAATCGATATGGATCGATAACGAAAAGTAGCCTATGACACCCGCCGGTGCCCGAAGTGTATGTGTACCAAGTTTGGTCCGGATCGGTTCAGAAATGGATTTTTCTATTCGGAACATACGTACAGACAAACAGACAAACAGACGTTCACCTTCATATATAAGATGATGCGTCTCGTCGAGCTGAATCGAACGGTGTCCTCGGATTCAGAATTCGTCCATTCTGAAGCGAGATATGGCTAAATTGACGATCATTCCGGCGCACTGCGGCGGAGTGTGGCGCACTCTGCCGCACTCCGGCGCGCTCTGCCACACTCCGGCGCACTCTGCCACACTCCGGCGCACTGTGGCGGAGTGTGGCGGAGTGCGCCGCAGTCCGGCGACTTTTTTGACGAATTATGAGCGGTATTGTAGTCCTAGAATATAGAGCAAACAGATATTATGGAGGGATCTCGGGCAAAGCAACCACCTTGAAAAGTTGATGGATGTCAAATGGATTGTTACTTGACAAATCATCATTAGTGTCATATATGAATGTAGGGAGAATTTAAAATGCTAATTCATATAAGTTTTGTTGACATCAATGTTCAATTTTCAGAACATTTCCCGATTTTCAAAGGACCATCCACCGGTATTCGAACGCAGTAATGTGTGTATTTTTCATCGTAAAGTTTTTAACATTTCTGACAAATTTTCTACCCTCGCCCCTGACAAATCAAGACATTATAATGTCTAGGATGGCCATCGCAAAGGAGGCATACGCTGAATAAATGCAGACAATCGTTGCCAATCACGTAGAGAATCATTTGCATCTGAATTGCATGCCGTGGCGATGCGATCGGCTCATACGGACGAAGGATGGACCGAAAAAATTGTAAAAACTCCCTTAAAAGAGGTCGTTCCTGATCTTCACAAATTTTTCAATTTTCGTGCAATTTCGGTCTCTCAAAATGTTGAAAATCTCTCAAGGATCTCTGGCGTTCACAATATTTTTTGGATAGTGAGACTTGCACTTTTCCCTAAATTCAATTTCCCCGGAAGATAAATTAGCAGAGGTTTTCAATGCTGATTGCAAAGTACATTGGCAGTCTTACCCCGACTTCCACCCTTTGTTCCGTTACTTCGACTAGATGCGCAAGTTTTCTTGCATTTTCCGGAATTGGTCGAGTAAGTTCTGCTCGCTCGAGTAATGATGGAGGTTCCACTACGACCATATCAGAGCGTGACTCCCTGTAAAAAAATCTTATTGAAATTTGTAGACCGACAAATGAAAGAGAATAAAGATGACAAAGAATAGAAAGGAAGTCAAAGCTACCACGACTTACAGACGAGAACGAAAACAATTGTTCGGGGTAAGAAATTTCGAAAATGTTGAGATAACAGGTGGAACCAAGCTCTGCGCGTGCACACATCTATCAATCAACAAAAACAAGAGCAAATAGCCCCTAAAACGGGGCATTGACCGATAAGAGAGATCCGTGTTGACATGAGAAAATCTATGATCAAGTTCAAAAAAATTTTGGAAGAGAAAAATTCTGCAGGCGTTAATAATCATATTGGCAAAAAACACCCTTGATGCCAACATCAATCAAATTTTCAGCACGTAATTCTCATGAGAGGTGTTGAATTAAATTTTTGGGATTGCTTGAAGAAAGCATTGGGGATTGTTTTTGGAAAAAATTATCGACGTGTGGGATTCATAGACAACGACGATTGGCAAAAAATTGATAAAATGTGAAGGTAAATAAAAATTTTGAGCAAGCATGAGTAAGAATGGTAGACCCTGAAAAGAAAGATTTTAAGAGCTAGATGAAGTGAGTGAATCATTAAATCATGGCAGTTACTATGCATTTCTGCATTTCGCTGTGCTCCAAAAAACTAAAATTTTGGATTTTTGAAAGAAGATAATTCACGGCGAGATTCATAGATGGCGACAATTTACGGAAATCAGTATACCTACAAAATGTAAGAGCGATATAAAATGGGTGACCCCTTAACTAGATAATTCCAAAGAATGCTAAATAAAAGAAATGAATCAGGCCAGTTACTAAGCAATTCTGCAATTCTGCTCTGCACTAAAAAGAACATTTGACGGAATGAACTTCCTGTGCAAACAATATTCCATTTCCACAGCTCCTTCATATAGAAAATACCTCAATCATTGAACAGTTTTGACGTGAAATTCAACAATACTGAGAAGAGAACAGATTCAAAGCAGATTTTCGTTCACTTGTCATCGATGTTCCTATTTATCTAGCGTGTAAAAGCAGCAAAACCACGATGAGATGGTGGGGGATTTTCTCTCTGTCACGGGCACAGCACACTCTCACACAATTAATTCCGTCGAATTTAATCGGCCACAACGTGCAGTTTGTGCAATTAGCGTTCTTTATTGCTACATTTATCCGTTCCGAATGTGCTAGAAGTGCAAAAGAAACCCCCTTGACCGAGAAAACATCGAAATTTTGTGAGCTGTTCTATGAACTGTGAAGTTTACAATATTGCCTTCCTGTAAAGGTCAAAACAGCAAGATGTTAGGTGAAGCTTTGAATATTGAAAGACGATCAAAAAAAGTAAGGAGAGGAATTGTATTAGGTTTCGGATAACTTCTGTTACCAATTTCTGAATTTTTAAATTTTTGAATGAACTGTTTCTGCAATTTTCAACTTTTTTCATCCCTTGTTTTTGAAATGTTAGGGGCACCATAATGCCTCCATGTAAGAGAAAGTGCCACTTCACATTTTTTTAAAAATTATAGAAGAGGAAAAGCACGAGTTTAGTCATTGGTGCATTTGCGGCATCAATCAAGCTGGTTGGTTAGACCTCGCTACATACTAGGTATTTCGCAAATTGAAGGTCTACAAGCTTCTGCAATTTTCAAGTAAAAGTAGAAAAGGAATAACAAGAATTACTGATGACCCAATATAAAATCTCGTATCTTTTATTCCTCTAGCATTTTGTACGTGATTTATACTACAATTTTAGACCACAAAAAATCACAAATAAATTTAATCTATGGTACAAGTAGGAAGACAATTTTGTATTGAAATATCAATCCAGCTATTACATCTGAGATATACCATCACCGGACACAACAGTTTGTATTTATGATAATTTTGTAACGGCAATTTTTGTACTGTCTTACAGCTTAGTACTAGATATAGAGTTCAATCCTAGTGTATGTACCACATATCGCTTGAAAAATGTTTGATTTTGATGTGATTTAGAATTGAAAAGATTATTTTGAGTCTAGTTAAAAAATTTCGTTTACATTCAGCACCAAATTAGAATTTTTTTTTCACACGATGTAGCCCACTTGGAAATTGTAGTTTTATAGCTATACCTAAATTTATTTTTATTTGACGCAAGAATTGCCGTTATAAATACACATAAAATCTTGATCGGGGCAGATAAGTTCCTTAAACAAATATAATCGAAATTCTGAAAAATTGAATGGACAGGGAAATGAAGGCTCTTCCCCAGGTGAATTTTCCAACTTTTTTGGGTTTTTGAAATTCTCGAGTATTGTTTCCTACTGTTGCTGCTTTCACTGGTTCAGAAAAGTTCAAGTTTAGCAACCTGTAACCATTGCGGTAAAATTTTCAAGAAAGTTTACCGCGTTTTCGGCTAAATATCGCCCATTTTAGACTGTTAATATTCAGAACTTGCAAACGGAGACTTGGCTTGGATAAACCTTGGTCTAACCTAACTAAAATCGAATGTAAAACTTCTGCTATAATAAAAATGATGAGGCTGATCAACAGTGGGGTCCGGTTGGCCACAAAAGTTCGGTTCCTAGAGAATTTTCATAAAAATACGGGTAGCCCAGGAAGCTCCCTACCCCTAGAACCTCGCCTCCCCTGAAAAATCTTACAAAGAAGAAAGGCGTAACCTATAAGGTGCTGGGCATTTACCGTGTGGCTTGCGTTTGCCGTAGATAACGAGCGAATGATTCAAAAGTGACGAAGAGCAGAACGAACAGTGCGAGTCACTCTCGGTGTGTCGGTCCACAGACCACAATGATGTGACAGAGACCTGCCTGCCACATGTGTGTCACACAGCAATGAGAACGGTTTTTTTAGGGGCCAAGAAAAAGCAGCTGCGGAAAGTTCCGGAACTTTTACGAAGCTTCTGTTAAAAGGGCAATATACGAGAGTGTGGCCAGCAATCAAGGAAAATTTGGAGCTAAAAATGAGGATATTTTGACAAAATATGAGAAAAATTGTGCGATTCACTGACTAGAAGAAACACTCTCTTATTTCAAAAAAGTGGGAGATAAAAAGAAGGAAAGGAGGAGTGAGATATGACAGCCTATATAATCTTGAAAATGTGATTTCATAACCATTGATTCAATTGGCATGGCGGCTGGAAGGCGGGGCTTTGTGACCAATTTAAGACCGCTCGTGCCCGCGACGCAGTCTGCTTTTCTCTCGCGCGCATGCTTTCTCATCATTATTATTATGCTCTCTCATCTAGCCTTAATTGGATCACGAAGCCCCGCCTTCCAGCCGCCAAGCCAGTTGAATTAAAGGGCAAATAATTAGAATATTTTGAAGTTTTAGAAAAGCAAATTAGTCCTGCAGGAAAAAGTTCCCTACCCTTCCCAGAAATTTGAAGTTATAGGCCCCCAGAAATTTTGCAAAGCATCCCTAAAAATTTATTGATGAGCATCTAACGTGGCGCCCCTTCCTTTGATTCCCCCCCCCCTCCCGGCTCTCGAAACATCACTGCTTCAAGAGTAATTTACAAGTTATCCGTGATTTTCCTTCAGAAGACAAATCTGCACTTCTTTTTGTCGAATTCTTTGTTAGTTGGGTAAAGATAAGATCTCATATTGCAAAGATAATAATCTCGTAAAATTTTCATTTCTGTTTTTCGAAAATTCTAGACATTAAAGGCTCTGGAGTTGCTAGAAGAAGAGAACAAATTTTGTCAAGCCCTGTTTGCAAAAAAAAATGACGAATTATATTCTTGCAAAAAACGTTCAGCGCTGCAGGTTTTCACTCTCAAATTGGAGTGGCATATAATGCAAAAAAATAGAAAAAAACTTGAAAACCAGAACCACCCGAACTTTCTATCCGGCTTAAATCACAATTTACACAAGTTTTTTTCCGCATTATTTGATCACATTTTGCGAGAGACTTGCAATGTGGAAAGTGCACCCGTACGAGCATAAATTGTTCACAGCAGCAGAGTGAAGGCGGTGAAAAATGAGCGAAGCTGTGTAGATTTATGGTTTGCTTAGTACCAACTGAAACTACTTCAAACAACAGAAAACACTTCTCAATCTTCAAATTCCTGACGGGACTTTCATATACATTGGGCGTCCATTTAGCGCTACTATGCATGTGGCCTGTTTTATAGCCACCATGGGAGAAAAGCTCTCATATTTCTGTTCCGGATGTTATGCACAAAAACACTTGAATGGATACTTGAGTTGTTTGCTTTAGAGCAGCACTACGGCCGTTTAGGAGAGTAAAATGTTGCTTTCCTTCCGTTTTGTTGGAAACTGGGGGGTCTGGACCGAACTGGAAATTTTGGAGAAAATCAATTTCAGGATAACTGCAGATAGTTTCCGATAAAAAAAACAGATTTTTCAAAAAAAGGAGTCAGCATTCATATAAGCATTTGTAGAGACTAAGACCTCATTATTAGAAAAATGAAAGTGATAGATTTAAATCTGAAGTTAATGTGCCTTCCAAAATATAGGCAAACTAATGTTTTCGCTCGATAATGTGTTTATACTTTTTCTATAAACCACTTAAGTGTGCGGAACTATTATTCTTTTATCTTTCATTGAGCAAACATATGGCACTAAAACCATCCCACATATGTGATATCTAACTAAAAACTCTCAACCGGACATTAATGACTCAGCAGTAACGCGTTTTATTCAAGGATGAAACAGAGTTCAAATGAGTCTCACAGTTTTTGAGGTTTTAAGAGGTGCGAGATGACAGTCATCTTTTGGAAGTGAAATTTTGAATACGTGAGGAAATCTGTCATTTCGTTGAAGACAATCATAATTTACTTAGTTACTGTAATTTATAATCTTAAAAGCCAACCAAATCATGCAGATTACTGTAAGCCTGAGCCCGCAGGTAATACCAGTTTTTTTTACCACAAAGCTCATTCCAGCAAGAAAATCTTCTTTTCATGTTGTTCATACTTGGTCTTTGACTTGATGGGAGCAGGAGAAAACATTTTTTAGATATACGAACATGCGAAGA